ATCATTTTTTATTTAAAGGCGTCGGTATTCCTACTTGATTGATTTCTGCATTACACAAGGATTTCTTGAACACGGTAAGACTAGTCTTTATCAAGTAATACACAAGCTTCCCAGTGCAGTAATTGCAGTGCCTGCTTAAAAAATATGTTGAATTAGATACCAGATTCAAGCAAAGCAACTGCATTCAAAGATACAGTACAGAAATCCAATATTCTGCAGTGACAAAGATTGTAAAAATGCCTGTCCTCTAGTCTTTCATTCTTGCTACTGCAGTACAGTTTTCATACTTTCAATAGCACATTTTTAACTAAATGCAGTCACCATATGTTCCTGCAACTGTCCATAAATCTAAGCTGTAAGCCAAATTATTAAAAAAAACCAAACCAAAACAAAACAAAGAGATAAAAAAAACAGAATTATTAAAAAAAAACAAAACAAAACAAAGAGATAAAAAGAACAATGCTACAGGTCTGTACATATCCTGAAACCTTTTAGGTTTAAAATATTCTTCTACAAGGCAGCCCAGTCTTGGGACAAGAACTATCTGCTTTACCACAGGAGAAACCTTGCATTTTGCAAGCGGTCTGAATCAGCAGAGCTCAGCCCTAAGGGGTACTGCCTAAAGGAAAGCATGCTTAAAGGAAACTACGTAAGTTAAAAAAAAACCACAAAACAAAACACCCCCACAAAAAACCACCACCAACAAAAAAAACCCACAGAAAAACAACCCACAAAAATCAAGGGCAGCACCATAACACCACAAACCTATTAGGAACGTCTATACTTAACGTCCAAATTGCAACACCAACAAAAACCCATGCATCCACCTAACATTACTAGGCACCTCCTTTTTGATCTGGAAGATTAAGACTGTAGTTTTCTTTTTTCCCCCCCATACATTCTCTGAATTGAGAAACTTCTGCTTAAAGCCTACAGGAACTACAAGCACATACCATCCACGTGCCAACCCTGGCGTTCCTAACAAACCAACAGTGTCAGATCGATGAAGAAGTAACTTGGTGAGAACACCTGAAAGAAAACAGATCCTATGACAACAACTGAATGGTGCACAGCTTTATTTATGACCTAATGGAGCACTTAACCTACAAGTCCAAGAGCTTGCCTGAAGCTTGGTGCTGAAGGCCATTTCTACCACTTCCTAATTTACCTTGAACATGATTTCCATCCGCAAGAAAACAAGCCTCGCAGAAGCACCTGAACCCACAGGCTACAGATTCACACATCTCCACAGTGGCACAACTTCAAGTTGGGGAAAAGTCCTCTCTAGACACTTATAGCTGAGATGTCCTCCTGAGGAAGTGGCAGAAGTTGAATTGAACAGCTTGCCACTGAGGAGAGAACAGAATCGAGGTTCTTCCATTTCCCAGCTCAACAGCTTAACTTTAGTTAAGGCAATCCCAAAAGACAAGTGCCACCTGCTCCTGCACCCTCCATTTAGGAGAGCAGGGATCTTCCTCAGTTCTTGGAAAGGTACCTTACCACACAAGGGATCCAGATGCCTCACTGCAGTAAGAAATGGCATTTCAAAGGTATCTCTGCACGTTATCATGTAGCGGCTCTCGCCAGACAGCCCACCCTTCCATGTATTTTTTTTTCCTGGGTCATCCACCAAGACAACTAACTCATACACTGCTCAGTAAACTGAGGATTTGGTAGGATACTGCACTCCACTTTGGTAACTAAGGACCTTGGTCCCAAATAACTCAGGTGCCACAACAGCCAAGCCCTTCAGTGCATCTACACCCTGGGTAATGAGCCACAATTTAAACATTTGCAAGGGTTTGTGCTGTCCTTCTGCAGCAAAACCACTATTTTTGTGAAATATGTAAGCTCTGAAACAGTTGGCTGCAGCAACCACTTAACATTTATTACCCTGGTTTCTTCAGAAATCTGCTAAATGCTTATTTGTACCTGGGAAATACAACATGCGAAACCGCCTTAATATTACAGCACCAAAACCACCACCTCATCGATTCCTGGGAAAAATGAATGACAAAAATACACTGAGAACACATTTTTCACTGTCAGCTGTATTGTCAGGACTGGCAGGGATATCACACTGTACCTGTATTTGCACCATCCCAGGACTTATTTGCTGCATCTCAAAATTGCCTAAAAAGCTTTAACCCTCTCGCACTCTTGGTAGTCTTGCAAATTTCACTCTCTGGGGTAGTGAATACATCCCTTGAGTCCAGCTGACTCAAGTCACTGTATTAAGCCAGCTGTGCATGCCCATGAACGCTGACACAAAGTTATGGCACACTTACAGAACTAGATCAAATGAAGTGAGGACTACAGATTAAAATGTGGAATATATATAATATATACATACTTACTGAGAGCAAACCCTTGTGTGTAGACAGTCACTTATGGGACAGAATTTACTATTTATTACAAAGACCAAAATTGGACAAACAGACCAAAGATGTTACAAAGTAACTGCGACTATACTAAGTGATTTAATAGCAAAACTTAAGTTTAAAAACCTGGGAGAGAATGTTCCATAGGACCTACTCAGTACCAACAAGGAACAAGTAAGCTTCGATTCCCCCATTTAAGTTAAACACAAACCAAATAGCATCTGTGGTTACTACAGCTTTGCAATTTCACATTCACTGAGTGGATAGAAGGAATTGATTTTCAAACTGACTGACACCACTTGCATGCCTTGGATTTTGATTTTTTTTATTTTTTTTTTATGCTGACAATGAAGGAATTCAGGGTGGGGAGCATGGCAGTGAGAAAACTTAAAAATACCCATCTCTACCTTAGCGATTTGCCAGAAGGCTTTAGACGTACCCGGCAATCCATCCAGGATGGCAACACTTGACTGGACTATCATTAAGATAACAGTAATCAAAGATCTTGCTAATTCTACCAACATCCCTACAGTCTGCCGTTTTCTTTACAGAACTTTTGTTATGACAAAGTCATCCAGTGCTAGCTCTGGTACCACAGACACTGTTTTGTCGGACTATGATAATAAGAGGTTCTTAAATGGTAAAGCAGACATCTCATGTCATTCAGCTCTCAGGTTTGGTTCCTCCACACCATGTTACCTGTCTGATCCAAGAGAACCCAATCTGTAAAAATTTCGCATCCCCTCAATACTAATGCACATACTGCCTTTCAGAAGTATGAGAGGACATATTGAGCAAGTCAATGGCGGTCACAGCAGTTACCTGAATAATTTAAAAGTGGCTAATCTAATTAAGTTCCCAGCTGATATGTCAGTTAGGAAAGTGGGAGAAGACTGGCAGCTCTGTACAGATTCAAGCCCTCCCTTCGTAAACCAGAACACTTAACACTTGCGGCTCTGCAGAGGTGACTATGCAATCAAGCCTCATGGTCTAGAAGCATCTTCCTCCCAATCATCTAAGAAAACCTCTATTTCCACCCATGTCTTATGAAGCATCAGACACAGAAGACTGGCTGGTGAAACATTCAGAGACTCTAGGGAGATGCTTCTCTTGCATACCTGGCTGACTTCTTCACTGATTTGAATCAAACTGATGGCCAGATTTACACTTCCCCTCACCTTACACAGCAGGCAGACTTTCTCACATTCATTTCTAGCATGAAGCACAGATTACTAGCTGCTAAGGTCTTCCTACTGTCTAGACATTTCTCCGACTCCAAAGATCTTAAATGTATGCAATTTTTACTGGTTTTAGGTAGCTGTGTTGCACCCTTGAAATAAATATTTCAGTCTTTCAGGGGGTTGCCTAAAGTCACAGCGATCTGTAATTTAGATTCCAATAGCTCTTAAACGGACATTTCTTAGAAAGAGCAGATGAACTCAGCCTCTTCTGACCTTAAATTCCATTAAAACTATCATACATCCATCATAAGCAGTAGTGGAAAGGCAACCAAACCATGCAATGAGAACATACACCTCAACTTGTAACAGTGAATACACTACATAATGAAGATCTGTACTCAGAGCTCCAAGATGATTCTCTCAGATCCTTCCTAAGTTCAGTTACAGAAATCAATGCAGAGGGAAAATACTGAGCCTAGGTCAGTGCCGAAGGAGCCTAGCCTGCTCTCTCTCTCCCTTTAAGACCAGCAGAATTTCTTCAGAGACTTCATGAACTGTACTGTACACTGCACATGACAAAAACCTTTCTTTAGGTTCAGAGTGACCTTCCTGGCTTGACTTCATTTTTAAACGTCATTTTTTTTTGTCCTTTTTCTCTTCTTCAGATGATCTTCTTTATGCTGGTCTCCAAGACTGCCATTCCACTATGGCTGAGGGCTGAAGCCCCTTTGCCTACTCTCAGTATTCTCAACGATTCTTCATATGCTACAAAGACTTCTGTAATTTTCTCCAGGAGACAAAGTCTGAATTGCACAACACACCATTACCTTTTTGAGGAAAAAGATATGTACAAAGACCCCACTGAATATCAAGAAACAGAAGGGAATACCTGTTGCATCCTTCTTCCAGAAGAATTAGTTTAGTGCAGATCAGACCAAATTTGAAACCTGCATGTGGAGGAGCTCTACAGAGAAACACTCACAGTATTCACTCCAATGGGCCAAGGCAGCATACAACAACATTGTATGAGATCAGGTGACTCCTGAGGAGCTTTAGCCAGATTAAGAATTAGTAATGCAAAAATAAACCAAGTTCCACCTTGGTTCCCCAGGCAGGAAACAGAGCACTAAAGGAAGGTCTCTGTCACCCTGCCTCTGATGCATGACTTCTCACAATGTTAACTAACACTCCAATTTCATGGGGATGAAGAATACAGAAAGATGACACTATGAAATACAGCCAAAGACAGAACTCTTCACATTTTCTCTTTGCCCCACTAAACTGAATAGGAATTTCTCTTGACTTCACTGGATGCAGGATCTCGCCCTATACACAAATGCATGCTTCAAGATGGCCTATGTAAGAACTAAAAAAGAACTAAAATCAAAAAAGTTGAAAAAGGTTTATTTGGGATAGCTGCATAAAGCGCAATAATTACCATGTTGAAGTAAGACCGGATTTTGACCCCTCTTGCCAAATCCCAAACTATGACATTTCCATCATGTCCAGCAGAGAAAAGAACTCTCGGATCAAACGGATGAGGTTCAAGTACAAACACTTCATCTTCATGTCCCTGAAATTAAAGATACAGCAAGATGACCAAGCGGATTGTCTCAAATACTTACCCAGGAATTCAACAGGATAACGCTACAGCATGTGCAACATTAAACTATGAAAGTGTCCAGCAAAGAACAACTATTTTAACCAAACATTTGGGCTTTTTGGACAGTGTATTCTGTTCTTCTCTTTCCAGTTGCAATGTTAGCTTCCTAAGAGGTATGTCAAGTATGTCACCTTCATACTTGCCACCAAGAAGTATGGCCCAACACTTTTGCCATTATTTTAAAAGATTAGAGTCCACAACGTTCAGTATTTTTGGTCTTAATGCTTCGCAGATTTCATTTTTTTTTTAGCAGAGTAGCAGTTAGAAATTTAATTTAGACCCATGAAATAATCAAATATGTAACTAAAATTTTGAGAACATCTTCAAAATTAACTCTGAATTTTAAAGCTTTGCATTAAATATTTCCATCCCTAGAAGAGCATCTAGTTACCTAGTGCTACCTATTTTCTCAGTTAAAAAAAAAAAAAAGATATCAGATATTACTAAAAATGTTGTTTGATCTACTATTTCCATCCCTGGAGGAGCATCTAGTTACCTAGTGCTACCTATTTTCTCAGTTAAAAAAAAAAAAAGATATCAGCTATTACTAAAAATGTTGCTTGATCTACTCTAGCTAGAAGACTATTTTTTGTACTCATGGAATGATAAGGTTGTGGAAGTGTCTCTGTTTAAACAAGGCAAATTTTTCACACTAAATAAAGGTAAAAAGAAACAATTGTTTCCTTCACTGCTTCCAAGCTAGCACTTTAGGAAAAAAAAAGTCCAAAATTGCTTTCCAACATCTTGAACAGCAATGGTTATCTGTGACTTTAAAGCTTTATTGTGTAATAAGCAGCTGACAGACATCGCTATTACACTTCAACTATCTGGAAACATTTTTAAGGTAGTTTTCAGGCACAAAGAAAACCATGTAAGGAAGAACTTTGATGATGTATACAAATCTTGCATTCAGGGTTGATAAATCAAGATGAAATCTTACCATGAGAATATGAATGAGTTGGCCAGTGAAAGAATTCCAAACTTTCAGAGTCATGTTATTTACTGCAGTTATAACAGAGTTGTCATGGCGGTCCCATGCCACCATGGTCACTTTCAGCTTTGTGATTTTATCTTCCACTCCTTGTAAACTTTGTCTAAAACAAAAGAGCAAAAAGTTTCAAACCAATTCTAGTTTGCCAAAATATTTTTATGTCACTAGTAAGTGAAAATACTTCTGTATTTTGTTTTATTGCTAAGAATAGAAGCATCACTTCTTCAACAAGCTGGAGAAATGAAAGATGTTCTCCATTATGTAGCATATACAACACGAAAGAATTGTAGGTGCTTTAACAATGACTATGGGGTCCTCTTTGTATCTTATAATAATATGTTGATCTGTTTTCCCAGAAAATTCCCTCCTATACATGACCTAACCCAATTATATTTGGTATCTACGGTATTTGTTGTGACATTTGAAGAGCAAAAGACTGAACTAGTCAAGCAGTGAACAGTCCTGGAGAATATATATATGGAGAGAAGCATTCTGATACCTTTAAAAAAGTTAATTTCTCAGGCTAGATTTAGTACTATACCACCACCCTTACATCATTTTACTGTCAGTAATAATGGCACTTAATTTTGCATGTATTTTATTTTTATCCCTATGAAAACCAAACACTAGCATTCTGTAATATAATCTATGAGAATACCCCAATATTATACTTCTGTCAGTGTGGTTTAAAGATGAACCACCACTGAATTCTCTAGCACATTAACTTCTGGGAAAACATCAATCAAATGCAACAATAGCATGTTACCACCAAACAGGGAGACAAAATATAGGATCCTCCATATAGTAAGCACTACAAAACATTACACAATAGTATATATTGTACAAATCAATAATAGAAAATGCAGTTACAGCCAGATTCCTTTCCAGATTTAATGCAGAACCCAGGAGACTTTATAAGCTGAATTCCATCTTTCCTTTCAGTGCAGCAATTTAGTTTTCTTCGCTAAGACTGTGCTTGTGCAGAAAAGATCAAATTTGGAAGAGCACTCACCTCTCTAGTCAAAAGGACAAAACAGAATTCAGCTAAAGGCGCTCTACTGAAATGAGCAGTTCAGTTTCTCAAGGAAGTTCAGCATTTCTGACCACAATGAAGAAGAATCCATTCCAATTTTTCCCAGGATCATTTAAAACCAAGAATTTTTACAGGCTGCATTTTCAAGAGAGAGTAACTCAGTCTGTTCTTGAAGTACGAAAGTTTACACACTCTTGGTCTATATTAATGTTTTGTTGCATCTGCCCATACTGACAAGATCATCTCTAATCTAAACATCCAACTAAATTACAGCTTGTATAGCCTTCCCTTCCATCTCTCTCTTGGTCTTTCAGACATCTTTCCACAGGATTACTCCTGAAACCATTTACATTTTTTTCTATTAAGTATCATCCTTCAAACGACTCACTATGATTAGCAAGGGGGAAAAAGGTTTACCCTTTAAACAACATTAGGAATCTTTCTAATGTATGTAAGCTGGAAAACATCTCCTCCCTAACAAAATAAAAAAGGTGCAAGCCACAGTTCCTACTGACTCATCCATCTTCCAGCCTCTTTTCTTGCTTGTTCTAGTGTGCAGAAGTTTCTCATACCTACAAAGCCTTGTAAATTCTCAGATTGTTTTAACAAAAGAGAACCCGTTACAGAGCAAGCGATATATGTGCTCTGGCATGTGGTGTGAAAGAATCCAATACTGCTTTTCCAGGCATGCAGATTCCACAGTATCTTTAAGTATTACTAAAATGCAAGCAGTGTTAATAACAGATTCAACCTGGTCTTCTTGCTCCAGAAACAAATACCTATGTAAAAAGCCATATAAATTTGACCTTTAATGGGTTTTGAGTATCTTTTATTCTTTCAATCTAATCAAAATAATGGTGGAGTTATTATCAGGACAAGCTGGTTTCCACGGCTGAATACATAGTCAGATATTTGTTTTCATTGGATGTCAAGAGCTAGACCAGCATATTGTGCATTTAAGGAATAACAACCCCCTCTTTTTTTCCCCTTCTTTAAAAAAAAAAAATCTTTTTGTTGGTTTTTTTGGTTATTTTTTTTTTGTGGTGTTTGGTGGGGTTTGTTGTTGTTGTGGGCTTGGGTTTTTTTAGGGGTGTTTTTTGTTTTTTTATGTCAACAAATTGTATCAACAGCCTTCAGGTATCTACCTTGTAGCCGCCCATTCTACATCACTTACCCTGCTGGGCGAGTAGCCATATCCAGCAAAATGCTTTTCCACTCCCTTCGCTTAAATTGCCAGATTCGTGCTGTTCCATCACGGCTTCCACTCACAAATCTAACAAAAGGGGAAAAAAGTTACTCAGAGATCAAAGGCAGATCTGTCCAGAAAAGACACTTGAAGACTGATGTTCCAGAATTTAGAGGTCAAAAAACGAAGCTGTAAGAAGTTCAAACAACATCAGAATGCTGTACAACTCCTTTGAGGTGAAAATCACTTGGCATACCAGTAAAAAAATTAAGGCCTACGGAAGAAATTTAAGGGGTAAAAATAGCTGAAGGGCCAGCAGAGCCCTACAAGCAGAAGTACAGACATGATATAAAGCAAATAAAACCTACTCCCAATAAGCTAGTGCTGTATGTTGAGTAAATATTACAATACTTAGTATCTCCCAGCATGAGTTTCTCCCCCACCTCTTTCTTCCCCCTTTTTGGGGTGCAGGCTTAGAAGGAGGAGAAAGAGGTGGGTGGAGCCCAGTGAGGTCTGGTTTACAACTATTTGTTGTATCATAATAGAAGTGTACATTAGAACATCAATTAAATGAAGTATCAGCAACTTCATAACAAACTGAACTGTTTTCTTTAGCATTCTTGACATCCAATATCTGTAACTTAAAGTGAAACATTAAAAAATATTAGGTTAGCTAAATAGATCTAGTTTGACAGCTTTCCTGTATCCAGCAGTCACTTAATTAAAAAGGTTTAAATATTTAAATATATCTAAAAATGCAAGTATTTCTTATGTTAGTATATATACATATACATTGCTTCAGAAGATATTTCAAGTATTCTCATACTCCTTAGTTTTGGCAAATTGAAAATACTTCAATCATTCACTACAACGAAAACAAGTGTAAAATTGAAGGAGTATTATTAAAACAAAACACTGAGAATCCGATAGTTATAGATTATTTTACTGGATGAGCCTCAAAACAGAAAGCATTTTTTTTAAGTAACTGTTTCCAGAAACTGATACTTATAAATGTCCACAAGGTCAAAAAAACTATCTCTGAATAAATAGTGTGCTTACCTGCTACTACTATTAGAAAACTGAATGCTGTCAACTTTGTCCTATACAAAAAAAAGCAGAAACATTTTAAAAAAAATCAGATATGATTCCAAATTACACAAATTATTATTTTAATCAAGTACATATGTATTTTTTAAAAAGTATTTACAGTATGAAACTCCAACTCTGATATCTTCTCTGGCTGACCTGATCCAAAGAAATAAACCCTAATGATGTGATCTGTGCTCCCAGTGGCCAAAAACATTCCACCTGAGAAAAACAAACAGAAAATCTTCAGAAAAAAAGGCAATCTAATGTTATTACAGTACTTTCAAAAACAGCTGTAACATCAAATACTTAAATTTATCCCCCCACATTTTCAGCTGTATCTCATTTCAGCTACGGCTGTAACTGACCTTTAAGTAAAAATGAGTTTTATAAACTCCAAAGTTTAACTGGCGCTGAATTACCTCACATTTGCTGGCAGATAAATATGCATCCGCAGACACACGGGAAAGATTAGCTAACTACCGTAATTTGTTTGCGACTAAGCCCTTAGAAGCCTCAATCTTAACAAAAATTAAAGGGAACTAGAGCTCCAATACATTTTCTGAAAATAAGCTCCTGTTATTTTGTGTTTTATCCAGTTATCTATGTCGCATTCTCTAATTGCCAACTCAGAAATCAATTAAATTCAGAGCATGAGAACCCAGTAATCAACACCTTCTTGTCCCAATCCCTATAAATTCCATCTCAGATAAAGCTGACTCTCAGAATCAATCTGAAAAAAAAATGTATGCATCATATTTTAAAAGACTTGCAGTCACAAGAGACTTACTTTCAACATTTTATATTTAACTATTTTCAAGAATTTTTGTATCACCGCGAGTTAATACACAGATTCTGAATTTCTATTTTAAATATTTGGGATTATTAAATAACTACTTTATATCAATTCCATCTTATTAACAAGAAATATGCTGCAGTAACTGCATTAAACTTCATTTTACTCTCCAAATGACTTCTCACATTGACAAAAGGGAGGGGAAAAAAAAAAAAAAAAAAGTCTTTTACCAGCACTAAAAGAAGAACAGATCATTTGGACTCCGGGCCGAGGTCGTTCTGTAAACTTTGTTGGCCTTGGACTACAAATAAAGAAATAGTTAAATAATTTCCTAATAGGGCTTCAAAATATAAGTCAGTATCTTAGAAATAAAGCACAGAAGGACAAAATTAAATATGAAAGAACAGATGGCTGCCCATCTATAAACAATTTTGTGTGACTATGCTTCATGATCTGATCTTTAGGAAACTAAAACATCCAGATGGACTAAGTAATCCATGTATCAAGGAGAGCTGTATCACAACGGAAATCCCATTCCCCTCTCCACTCTACTATCGCGATACACAACACTCCCCTCAAGTCAGCGGCAAAGCGGAACAGAAGACACCACAGCCGGCTGTCCGTGACATCCAGTTTTAAACCACTGGCTGCACTGGAACTCTGGTTTTCTCCTGCAGCACAGGGATGCTTTTCCAGGAGAGAAATGGAGCTTGGTGCTCCTTTTAGAAAAGGATGCAAAATAAATTTAAATCAATTTGGAGCGTTTCCCAGTATTAGAACAGATCAGTTTCTTCAGAGGACACATATTCTTTCTGGGCTAGTTTCAAGAATGTCAGGACAATGGCTAGAAGTTTGTAAGAAATTTTACTTTAAGGCCTGTGCTTCCTTTTAGGTATTTCATAACCTGATGTGCAAGCAGAACTATAGCTCCAATGGATTTGGCACTTTAAGAGTGTATAAAACCAAAACAAATCAGATCTGGTTCTTCAATCTTGACTTCAATTCTGCTCATGCTCTGCAGCAACCTCAAATGAGTAGGTGGTCTCGGATAGTATGCCATCTGCAATCTTCACTCACAGAATAAACTTACTAGAGAACAAGCAGCATTACGCCCACAAGTGTCATCACTAAAGATTTGTCTTAACATCAAAGAATGCATTTTCATAACTTATCCAAAATTTTCTCTTTTAAAAGCAAAATGGTCCAATATAATTAATTTCAGCTGAAAGCAGAGGCATAGGACCTTTCTGCACTGATCAGCTACTGCTACCTCAAAGAAAGTAGTAAGCATTAAACCTTAGTGGGTGCCTATGCATAAAACTAAGTAATAAATACCCGGAATACCAGTTAAGAAATCTTTCTCCAAACTGTCCATTCAGTATAGGCTGTTTCTGTGCATCTTCCTCTAGGAGTTTTAAGGTAATTCCCTGCAGACTCGTGACAAGGAACCTTCACAATAAGATACACTAAACAAGACAAAGATCCATTCTACAAAACAGCTGAGACCCTTCTTCATTGAGACAGTAGCATAAAAAGAACGATCAGATGATTCAATATGCAGCTTACATAATTCAGAACAGTGTAAACAGATAAATAGGCTGCTGTTCTCTTCCACTGCAGTTTGTGAGCTCTGCCTTCGGAGTTAGGACAGCTGCCAAACAGAGCAAGGATGTATTTATATCCCAGTTTGGATAACCCAGTGTACTGGTTTTGTCTGGGGTATGGTTATTTTCTTCACTAGCCAGTATGGGGCTATGGTTTGGATTTGTGCAGGAAACAGTGCCGATAACACAGGGATGTTTTCGTTATTGCAGAGCTATTTTCTTCACTAGCCAGTATGGGGCTATGGTTTGGATTTGTGCAGGAAACAGTGCCGATAACACAGGGATGTTTTCGTTATTGCAGAGCAGTGCTCACACAGAACCAAGGACTTTTCTGCGTCTCACCCCACTCCACCAGCGAGGAGGCTGGGGCTGCACAAAAAGCAGGGAGGGGACGCAGCCGGGACAGCCGACCCAAGCTGACCAAAGGGATATTCCATACCATATGATGGCATGCTCAGCAGTAAACTAGGGGGGAGGCTGGCCAGGGGTCTGCTGCTCAAGGACTGCCTGAGCATCAGCTGGTTGGTGGTGAGCAATTGTTTTCATTTGCATCACTTGTCTTTCTTGGGTTTTAACTCTGTCCATTTTTTTCCTTTTCACTGCAACTATTATTATTATTATTATTTCAATTATTAAACTCTTCTTATCCCAACCCCCAATCTTTCTCACCTTTACCCTCCCAATTCTCTTCCCTGCATCCTGCTTGGGGAGATGGGACTGAGTGGCTGCGTGGTGCTCAGCTGCTGATTAGGGTTAAACCACAACACCAAGTTAAACTCTCCAACTTGTGTCTCTCTAAAGTCTGTCATTTTAGGCATTAGGAGACAAAAGATTATGGCATTCTTTTACACTAGAGCAGACTGTGATCTTTGCAAATGCATTGGGTATTCTGTATTTTTAGGAAGCAAGGAAAGGGAACAAAAGCATAATTTCCTGCAACATATAGAAACCAAGCTAATTGTTTCACTTTATAAATATTCTCAATACAATTATTAAGCAGCTGGACGGCACTAAGGTACCTTTACAAACATTTCACAGAGAGGTCCAGAAAAGCCCAGGTAAAAACACTTTCCTCCTGGAGAAGACCTGTATTAAGTTCAATACAGATCCAGAAATTAGAGGGGCTGCAGTCAAAAAATAACCTGCACTCAGAGCAGCAGACAAAGAAGCAAACTGGTCTACGTGCCTCAGCTAAAGGGCACACTCACCCATAGAAATATTTCACAAATTCATCTGTTTTCAAAATGCAGCAATAGAGCAGGAACAGTTACCTAATCCAAGCCCTGTAGACTAACCTCACTCTGGACAGGTAGTGGCTCAACTAAGACTTTTTCCCAGAAAAGAGATGTGTGGCATAACCTCTTCAAATTAAGTCTTTGTTCACAAGCTAACGAGCAAGGTCCAGCAGATCTGAATTCTGATGTGTGGCCAGGCCCTTTAACATCAAGTGCCTCCTGCTTAAGAAAGCAGATGGGAAGTATCACACCATGCTGATGACAACTGAGAAATCGTCTTGTCCAAAACAGGAACATCAAAATCAGCATGTGTTTTTCCTACGGTTTTTTTCCTCTTTTTAAAATTATGGGGGAAAAAATTAAAAAGAAAAGCAGTAGAGTAAGCTCCTCTACCCAAATCTGTGAGACGGTTCTACTGCCTTGTTCATACGGTCTGCCAGTAACTAACACTGGAAACTTGTGATCCAAACAGGTGGCAGAAGAATAAGAAGAAAATTCAGCATCCTTCTCAGAGAAGACACATATGCAAATATTTTGCAGTGCAACTAAATTAGCTTTGATATACTGACCAGTTGTAATAATTCTTCCTTAAACGTGAGGCAGATTATCCTTCAATTTCTGATGACTCAAGGCTGATTTTCTCTCTTCTCCCTACTGTCAGCTGATACAGGATCTGACCCTTGTCTTTCCTAACACCATCCAGAGCAGTAACAGGATACTAAATATGGGGAAAATCTTGACTGTGTAAATTTTTAATTGTTTTCCTATCTTGTTTGGGCCACATTCCTTACTTGCTTACCTGCAGCGACAACCAACCTGGAAAACAGATTAATCTACCTGGAATGTTACTGCTTTTAGGCATACACGCTAACTGTCTGCTCAGAATTTTCTTCACTGAAGGAAGACCACACAGGAGGCTCTGTGATACTGAAGAACATGCATCCACACTCGTCACTGAAGCACGTGAATGGAGCGGATCACTCTCCTTTGAACAATGCGAGAATTTAGTGGTCAGCCATGCCAATGTCTCTGTTTCATCCTACGGCACCAAATCTACCATGTGTCCTTTTGCACTTCATCAAAACAGAGCTCTGTCACCAAGCATCGCCTCTCTGGGCCATATGCGTGACCTAGATACTGAACATTCCTCAACTAACAAGATTATAAAAAAACTGGGAGACCATGTAGGAAGCCTCTAGTTTCAGAGATGCTATTAATACTGTAACAGAGCTGCTGGCAAAGCTGAATACAAGGATTTTTGCTATCTAAGAATGAAACAAAATAAACATGCGTAGAGATTAAAAAGGCAAAACAAAACAGAACAGGGACAGGGCACTAGGCATTAGAAAGCTTAAAGGATATCAGAGTCTCTTTTAATGGCAAATACTATAGTTTGTAAGGTAGTACATTTTACAATTCTTCTGAGTGGAAAATAAAGAACAATCCCAAGTTCCCTTATTTCCTGTAAAAGCTGACAAGGGAAGATTCCTTTCAAGGGGAATTCCTCCCAGGAGGGACTAAGTCCAATTTCCAGTTAAAGACAAGGGAGTTGATGCAGTAGACCTAACCATCCAAGATGGGCTCCACTGAAACACTGTATAGCATAGTTTAGCACAGAACTGACTATTTTGTATTCAAGAGCACACTGAACACAGTAGTGCATCCACATGCTGCCTTTCCCGTATTTTAAGAAAAAGTTCAGTGAAGTACTGCTAGCACTGCCAATCATCTTGAAACTACAATCAAGCAAGCACATGATCATCACAAGGCTGCCCAACAGCTCGTAATCTTAACTCACCGCCATATGATTCAAGTAGTGCTGAGTATAAAAGCAGGTGGGGGTGCTATATTTTTTTTTAAGCAGCTGAAATTTTAAGATTCCGCCATCAGTTTCCTTTTAAAATATTGTATGATTTAGTAACACACTTTCATCACTGATAGAAATGGTATTCGTAAAGGATAGGTTGCAGTCAAGCTCAGGATGTGTATGAAGTCAAGTTCTGACTTAAGCATGTGACAACATCCTTCACCTGTACTTCTTAAGATCTTTCGGTCTTGCCTGAAAGCTCCCATTTCTCTTGCCTGGGGTGGGAGGGCCACTGGAACTGAGATACAGGGCTGCAAGCTCAGAACCTGAATAATTGTGGTAAGAGATTTTTTTTTTCTCTGCCAGCTATCCTCCT